TGTAAGAAGGGAAAATTAAGTAGCACAGATGCCATTCATTAACACAACAGTCAGTGGTCTGACTGAGTGGTCTGAATTTTTTAAATAAAAATCACCCAAATATTAATTAAAATGTTCTTTTGATTGCAGTAATTTAAACCCATCACTGAGCCCTTCCTAGGATGAAGCCAATGCTTGTGACTCAGAAATCACAATCATATGCATTAAGTTGAAAACCTATTTGAGATTTCAGCTGCAGCAGTCACTCTGCAACCTATGCGTTTTTAACAAAATAGCAATGAAAGCTCACAGGCAGTGGATTTTTCTTAGTGGGTGATCCCACTGAAGGTGAACTCAGCTCAACTGAGTTAAGTATAGGGGGGGTGAAAAAAAAAAAAAGATGAGCTCAGGGAAAAAACAGATTAAAGGCCACTTCAAGTCTGCTGCACGGCAGGTTTTTGATTTGGCAAAAGAAATGCATTGCTGGAATCAGTGCAACTGCTGCAAGACAGCCCTGCACTGCAAGTAATACTCAGCATCACCTAAATATAGAGCTGCAAGTCTATGTTCTGATAAATTATTTGATTGGCGGGGGAAAGGCTTCTTAAAAACAAAGTTTCTCAAAGCCACAGTTTACAACTCAGTTTACCTGCCAGAAATACAGCACAGCTGCATCAGAGATGTAGACGTCCTCCTTTAGATTTGAGATAAACACATAAATAACACGACTGGTTTAAGACTTTGTTTGTTTACACTGACCTGACTCACTCATTACTTTGTGCCTAAACCGAGAAGGCAATCAGTGTTCACAGTGAACTTTGACTCACAATTTCCACCCAAACAATAATCCCTGACAGCTGGTCACCTCACCACTTTGTGAGCAGCATGGTTTATACACTTTACAGGAATACAAGTCATAACCACATGAGCACTTCCACGGATAAACCTTTCGAGTTAAAACAGCCTGCACTGACTGAGCAGTGAGTGAATGACTCCAATAAACAGTATGACGGAGGCCCAGTTGTGAATTCCAAATCTAATTGAATGCAACACCACAAAGTTTAAACATGGTATTTTTCTGAGTATTTCTTTGAAGTTGAAGAGCCTGTACTTTAATTTAGTTCATGCCGGGAAGTTAAACTCACTTAATGTAGGCGGTGACACTAGCAGGTAGTTAACCTGCTAACAATGTGCACTAATCGACACCGGTATTTCGTTTTGAAATGGCACCGCATTTTAATTACGAATGCAGACCATTGTGGTCATAAAAAAGAAACGTGACAGTCTCTGGCATAGCTATTAATACATAAATCCTGCCGGTAATCCAGACAATGCACCAATAGCACCACAGCTTAAGCGGGGAGAGCTAGTTGGCTAGTTAGCCCTTTGCCTTTAGCAGCTAACCTAAGCCAAACAAAAAGGTCGGGGAAATAACTGCGCAAACTACAGCTAAAAATGCTACACGACTACCTTTGTCGTGTTTCTTTAAGTCCTTAATCCCTATCTCACGGCTTTCTTTTTATTTTCCGCTAGACTCACCTTAATGTTGGATTTAATTACAACGCTAGTTGGCCGGAGTCTTGTGTTGTTGTTAGCTAGCTGGCTGTTGAGCTGGACCACTATAGCAGTGTCTCACAAATAGCACACCCTGCTGTCTGGGAGTAATTTCACAAACCACTGCTATATATCCATCTATAAATGTGGTCTGAAGTTCATAAACACTTATCATCATGTCACGGTGATTTTCAGCTTATTTATTTTCAGCCTAATTATTTGTTTGAACTATTCTTTTCTGGGGTGTAATGACTGTACAACAACAAAAGTATTCTGGGTGCACAAGTTTAATTCCATTTTCAAATTCAAATTCAAATTTTATCTGAATTAACACACACAGCCATACACAGTACAACATGTGGTGAAATGCTTATTGCTGTGCAATACCCGACCATTAAATGATAGTAAGATTTACAGATTACTACAAAATTTACAGGTTTTAACTTGGAAATTTACAGTAAAAATGTGCAAATAACAGTTCATGAAATAAATTATGAATAAAAAAGAAAGAAGAACTTATTAATTATAAGAAGTGTGCAAAAAACCAGAGTGCGTGTGGTGATGTGATGCGTGTGGCAGAGTCCAGTCCTACACCTGGTTCAGGGTCCGAATAGCCTGGGGGAAGAAGCTCGTCCTCATTCTTTCTATTTTGGCCTTAAGGGAGCAGAAGCGCTTCCCAGGCCTCAACAGTGAGAAGAGTCCATTGTTGGGATGGTAGAGGTCCATCATAATCTTCCTGGCTTTAGTCTTTCACCGCTTGGTGTAAATGGACAGCAGGTCAGGAAGTTCTGATCGAATGATGCGTTCAGCCGAGTGCACCACTCTTTGCAGATCTTGTCTGTCCTGCTTGGTGCTGTTCCCAAACCAGGTGCAGATGTTTCCCATCAGGAAGCTCTCAATGGTGCAGGAGTAGAAGTTCTTAAGCACCCTCAGTGGCAGATGGAAGTCTCTAAGTCTTTTGAGTTTTCTCTAATCGACACAGGGTCAACATTGTACATACAGGCTAGAGCTGGGCGATATATCGAGTTTTAAAAAAATATCGATATATTTTTATACGAGATATAAGATGTGACAATATCTTTTATATCGATATAGTCTATGTTACGTTAAAGCTATACTTGTGGAGCCGCAAGTTTGCCTCTCTTTCGTCCACTTTTGTCTTTACGCAACGTTACTCGGCCTCGCCCCTCCTTCACTGAATACAACTCCCCCTCCTCCCCCATCGCTTCACCTGCAGGAAGCGACAAGACGGACACGGCAAATCTCCGTTAATGAGTTACTGCGCATCGACCCGTGCGTGGGGCTGGACGCCGTCAACGTGTTAGCTAGCTAACTACGCTAACGAGCTAACCACGCTAACGCCATGCAGCCCAGAGGCGCTGCACAGCCTAAAATCCTTTCATTTTCTCAAAAGTTGACAGCGCGCCTTATGTATGAATTCTGGTTGTGCTTGATGGCTGCGAACCGATTTTATGTGGTACACAGCGCTCAGCAATCTGTCAAAAAATGTTTTAGTACGACTTTGGTAAGCTACGGAGCTGCACCGCTTGATGGACTGTCAGAGCATTACGGCTACCGAGGAGCCTCGCGGAGTGATACGTACTGTGCTTCAACGTAATATTACCCTACTGTGTATAAGGACCATAAATGGCACCTGTTAAGAGACGTGGTTACGAAGAGGATTTCAAACTCAATGCTGTCAGTCACAGAGTAGAAGTTGGGAACAGAGCAGCTGTGAAATCTGTCTTTGTTATTGTGCTCAGCGTCTTTTAGTTTACATTTTGACTGCACAATTGTGAGCTTTTTGTTATGCACAAAAACAACATTGTTTTCTTTTATTTATGGAGCATTATTATTTAATAAATGCTCATAATTTATTTTTGAGTAAATTTTATGTACATCTATGCTCTATGTTAATAAAAGTGCCTGTGTGACATCTGGGACACAGCTTTGACTAAGAACTCTCTTTTTTGTTCTTACTTTATGGCTTTAAAAAAAAAAAATCGAGATATATATCTTATATCGCCATCTAGGTAAAAAATATCGAGATATGAATTTTGGGTCATATCGCCCAGCCCTAATACAGGCTCAAATATAAACATACACTCACTTAAATCTTTTATGTGTTGCTTAAGGTTTTACAGTGTCCAACACTCAGAGCAATAGGAAAGTACAAGTAGCTCACTGAAGATTTAATATGAACTGTAGATTTACACAAGCTAGCAAGGTATTTTGGAGCCATTTCTAAACAACGGCACTATCCAAGATAATCAGTTCAAACTTTATTAAAGTACAACTTATTTTGATGTCTCATTTTGCCAAGGTCTGGAAGAAGACCCTCGGACAAGAGAGAAAATTGGTTAGGATGTTCAAGAACAACAGCTCTGGCCAAGAATGCACATCTATTCCAAATCTGACACCTTCAAGCTCAATTTAGAATTAGATTTGCTATATGGACAAGCCAAATACATTCTAGGGAAGAGTATTATGGTCAAATGAGAAAAAGATGAGCTATTTGGCCACAACAACAGAGGGATGTTTCAAGAAGTAAAGGTTGGGCTTTCAAACCTAAGAACACTGTATCAGCTGTCAAGCATGCTGGTGGTAGCATCATGCTCTGGGACTGCTCCCAGTGGTGCTGGTACATTGCACACCTTAAATCAACAGTTATTGAGAATTCCATCAATTCCTCCAAAAAGAGTGATTAAATATCCAGCTAGAATTGTGACACAGGCATCTGTGACACAAGCAAGTTGTGTCTCAACCATAACCCTTTGGTTATGGTTGAGACACAACCTGCTAAGGGGCATTTAACCAAATATTAGTGGGAGAGTATATATATTTCCAATGGTCACCAATGTGTTGCAAGAAAGACCAATAACCATGGGAAATTTTGAATCACCAGTTAAAATAACTCCAGTAACTGCATGTCTTTGGACTGTGGGAGCAAGCGAGAACATGCAGACTCCACACAGAAAAACCCCCCCGACCAGATGATGGATTCAAACCCAGGACCTTCTTGCTGTGAAGCAACAGTGCTAAACCCCATACGACCATGCTGCCCACTTGTATCCACTTAAAGTCTTTAAACATGTATGCTGTACAATCATTCCACCCTGGAAAAACAAGTTTAAAAAACCCATTAAAAGCCCCAAATCACCATGACATTCACATGTACATAATGTATCCAAACTAATTGAGCCCATTTTAAAAAGAATAGTAAATAGCCCTGTAATCTCAAGCAGAGATAAATAGACATCAGCTGTTCAATGTAAAAATGAATTAAGAAGCATCACATGTTATTAGCGCCTGTTTGAGTGTGTATATATAACAAAAGCTTAAGCTTTTATGGAAAACATTATTAGCAGCAGAGGAAGTCTACCACTACAGCATGTTTCTTGCTTATTATGTCCTCCTTTTTAAACCAGTCATTTGTGATGAAATATATCGATTGCCTCATTTAGTGAGCAAGGCTGAATCACTCTGGACCAGGCGGTGCTGTCCTCACATTCTCTCCATTTTTCAAGTACTCTCATAAAAACACAATTTTTAGGCCATCTAGTCTTTCTGAGCCTTATAAAAGCAGTGTATATCTGCATAACTTTCTTAATAAGCAGCACAAAGCACAGCATGATGGGCTGAAATCCTAATTTATCAAGGAAAAACAAATAATTCAAATGCCCCTCACGATCCACAAACATAAGATATTTCTGTCTGAGTATTTCCTTAATAATACATGTGTGAAGCACAGATATGTGAAACTTTATTTCAGCTTCCTTTATTATTATTATAAGTTTAGACACTGCTTTGTTTCATATTGTAGAGAATACAGTTGGCACGCATATTTGCACCCATGAAAACATACCTAACAGCAACAAAGTACAGTTGTCCAGAGACTCGCAGTAAAATAAAGATACATGCATATAATTTACACATTTACAGAAGCTTTTATGCTCCAATGAATAAAGGCATTGTTTGAACGCAGTGTACAGAAAAACAAGTAGCAGTCCAGGAGATGAAAGATTCACCTCCGCTTTGCAGGGATAACAACATTTCCACTGGTTGCGATGGGGATTAGAAGCCTTCGCTGGTCCATGCGAAGATATTTTTCAATAAGCACTTCCACTGGCACCTTGTCATTCACATAACCCTGCCTGCAAGTTACAAACACATACTGGTTAAGTTCCATGTTAGAAAATTTATGTGAAATGTCAGAAAATAGATCATGAATGAGGTGTGCTACCTATAGGCAGCATTTAAGATATTCTACAGGCTTATGCTCTTATTACAGTCAGATATAGCCTTCAAACTACAAAGAGCTCAACATTGCCATCTAGAGGTCAGAATAATCCAAGCGTTGCAGAGTGGGTTTTTTCCTCCCCCTTACTGTAGAGTCAGTGCCTTACCTGTACAGGCGGGCACTTCTGGCTTAAAATACATATTATTTTGGGGCCTTTTGCCTTTATTAGATAGTGGAGAGTGGACAGGAAAGACAGGCCTACACTCAGTATAGGTTTCTTGATTTGCTTTGTTTTTTGGTTCATTTTATTCATTTATTGATAACACACACCAGACAAACTAAACAGCTAGCTAGTTGACATGTACACTGAGATATGCAGAACAAGGTATTTAAATAAATCTGTACATGTTTGCTCCATAAAGTTATATAGCAGTGTTGTACTGAGCCTCCTCAAACCCTCCTAGGAATACATAATGCAGTTTTGTGTATAATGTAGTTCGCTACATTTTTAAGTGGTATTTAAGTTTTGCTTTTTCCTCCTTAATTAAACAAAGGGGCTTTATGACATTAAAAACATCTGATTGCAAAAAGTCTTGAATTCTGCCCTCATACCTTTTCAGCAGAAGTTCAACGTCCTCGACCTCTATGGTTTTTCTCTTTGCATGGGCAGCATACGTCTCCAGGTCCTCAGCTAGCCGGTCAAAGAATTTATCCATTCTGTTAAAATTACAACAAATCTGTTATATTAAAGCAACACACAGTTCTAACAGACAAAGAGACACTGCATGTGATTAATGGCGAAACACAGTGTGTTACTTACATTTCATTTAGGACAGGGTGGACGTCTGCAGAGACTTTTGTTTTGGCAAATTGCTTAAAGACGCCCATAAGGTAGCTCTTAGGAAGGATAGTTTCCTTTTTAGAGATCCTCGTCTTCCTCACTCTCCTCTGCTTAGGTTTAGCTGCAGGTAAAGGTTCTCTTGTACCGCTGGTACTGGTGGAGATCAGAAGAGAGTGTCAGTGAATTGCCGAATAAAAACTTGATTCTGTACCTGTGCTACAATAGCAGTTTTTCTATTTAAAGTAGAGAAGCTTTTAGGGAGTTAAAAGAGCACTGTGTCAGCTGAAAGGTCCATATCCCCAGCTGAGTAGGTACTTCTTTCTCCCTAAAAACAGTCCTGACTGAAACCCACAGGACACACAAACACACACACTTAAGTGTAATAGGACATGCAGCTTACCTGGCCTGATTGTTCTTTAGAACAGAAGGTGATGCTAAAGGATCAGGACGATTAAAATTAATTTTCTGTCTGACAAACGCTGGAGTCTTGCAGGGGAAGTCTGAAGCTATCAGAAAACAGATTTCTTAGTCATTCTGAATGCTTAAATAGATATTTTACCAGTGCATGTTAAAAGAGAAAATAACCTTCATCCTCTTCATCATCATAATCTTCTTCTTCTTCTTCCATTTCTTCTTCTGGTTCAGCAGCATCCTCAGCTGGAGCTTCATCAGGCACAGTTTCACTCCTACCATCTTCAATGTCATACGTTCCCTCTGACAGAGGAAATGAGTTCTCTTTGTCAGCCTCAGGCTCATTCGTTGTCCCAGTGGCCTCTGCCTGTCCTTGGGTTGAGGATTCGGCCACATCAGGGTCTCCGGTGTGAGTCTGACCATTCTCATGGCTTCCCATCTCAAAGCTGGTGCGCAAATCCAGAGTGCCATGTCCTTTGAATTTGGCATCAGGCCATCCTACAAACAAAACCACAAACAATATTTAATCTCAATCATACAGATTTTTAAATGCTAAATGATTGATTAATTGATTTTTTTTTTAACCTGCAAACGTAGCATTAGGGAAATCCTCTGCTGCCTCTGTAACCGGCACAATGAGACCGCCCTCAGAGCGATAAGCCCTCCGGCTGATGTGTTCTGAGTCATGTTTCAGCTGAGCTGATGCCTCCTCTTCATTTTCACCGCTGAAGATCTCAAAGTCATTTTCGTTCTCAGACTTGGTCACGTGCTCATTTCTCTCAGATTGACCACTAACATCCTCTTCAGGCAGGGCTGCTACAACTTCATCAGTGTGATATTCAGTGCCACCATCCTCTTCATCCTTTTCGGTTTGAGAGTCTAGTACAACGTCCTCTTCCTCAGACTGAGTAGATGCTTCAGCTCCCTCTTCGGACTGGGAACCAGTTTGAGATTCTTCTACGCCTCTCTTGTCTTCTTCCTCTTCTTCAGTCTGATCCTCAGCCACATTCTCGTCTTCAGACTGAGAACCTGCGTCATCACCCTTTTCGATCTGCGAGTCGGCTGTACCTCCATCAGTGTTAGAGTCAACTACATCTTCCTCATCTTCTTCCTCCTCCTCTTCAGTTTTAGAATCTGCTTCAGCTTCCTCTTCAGCCTGTGACCCTGCTTCAACACCCTGTTCAAGCTCGGAATTAAGAGCAACTTCTGCTCTTTCCTCAACGTCTTCAAACTGAGCTGCATCCTCGCTTACACCGGTCCGAGATTGAACTACATCTTCATCTCCGTCAGATTTTGCCAAGACATCTTCAGGTTTACTGTAAACTGTTCTCCTTGCTTCCTTCTTTTCAGATTCATCTTCAGTTGGAAACACACACAATTGGTCAGTTTCCAGCTTGCTCTGCTCCACTTCCATTTGCTCCTCTGGCTCCATCTCCCTCATGTCCTTCTGCAGCTGAGACGCCACGACTGTAGGTTTGTCCTGAGTAGCAATGATAGAAAAGTTGGAGGTCATGGCATCAGCCTGGGCGTAGAGAGCCGTGTTACAGTTCACAATATCGGCTGTGATATCTGGTTCGCTGAGTTTGCTTAGACCTAAGGTGAAGCCCTCAGAGTGAGTAGATTCACCAAGCCCCTGCTCCACAGGTCCAAAGCTGCTCATACCTGGATGACAGGAAGGAGGAAAATGTAAGGTGGAGGTAAAGAGCAGGTGCAAATAACCTACAATTCTTTTCATGCTGTACTTCTGTTCTCACATCACTGGGCTGAAGTGTTAAATTTATACTCAGTCGTAGGTTTGCACTGAACCTCTGCAGAATTTAACTAAAACTTTCACCAGCAGGGGGCAGCACCTTACTTGTAGGTAGGTTGAATAGTTGTTGTATGTGTGCCGGCAACTTAACCAAAGGTTACATGGCCTTGTTACACAATCTTGTGATAAAAACTGGCATTAAACAAAATTACAATCCAATCTAGTTCCACTTTTTTTTTTTTAAACCTCCCTTCAGCACGATTCTTTTTGAGACATGGTCCCAAGCAGCTGTTTCTTTGCAGTCTGGTAACAGCTTTACTTACTGAAACATTTTCACATGCACTCATCTACAAAATGTATGAGAGGTGAAGAAGACGGTGGAGATACGCGTCAGGGGTGGTTTGTGGCAGAAGACCAAAATGTCTGAATAAAGGACCAGAGGCCAAGCTGGGGCCGAAGATGTTAAGAAGTCTGAAGGACAAGATTAGAAATGAGTATAACTCAGGTTTAGTCAAAGTCTGGACTCAAAGTTACAGAGGCAAAGCTGAGGGGGTTTGGACATGTGCAGAGGAGGGATAAAGGGATTGAGGATAAAGATGGATGCAAATCACTGACAAATTCACTGTGGTGACCCCTAAAGTGAGCAACCGAAAGAAGGTGATATTTAAAGTGACTCAATAGCAGGTCAAAATACAGTGACAGTTCTCAAGGTGAAAAATCCTGATAGTGAGATTATTTAGCAATGAATGAATCAATTATCAAATTAACCAGTTGGTAACAACAGTGTGTGAGATTATATTACATTTCTGGTTAAGTTTCTGTGTTTTACACCATATGGTTGTATGGCTGCTGTGCCTCAGAAAGAAATCTTTGAAAAACCTGTGTCCCATTAGAAGAATGTAATAAAGTATTTTGAGCGCAGTGTTCACCTCCCATCCGTCGTTTATCTACAGCAGCACCAAATTCTTCCTCTGAGATTTTCCGACGATTTGAAACTTTTCTCTGCAGACCTCTTTTCTCAGTCTTAGCGTCAACAAACGGAGTTTTTAAATTCAAGGAAGCAGAGCTGAAAAACAGATTGGACATAAACTAAAAACCATAAAAAACAAACATGGTGTGCATTCACACGCTGATCATTAATTCTAAACCTAGTCATGGGTTTGATCCCTGATTAGAATTAATATTTTGCATTCTTTGTACACTTTACCTCAACACAGACAGTGATGAATTGTCATCTATTGATAGTTCAGTTTCCTCTTCAGCTTCTGGAAGCACAAACATCCAGCATACACAGTAAGTGTTCACATTGCTGCAGAAGCACAAAAAAAAAAAAAAAAAACCCACAACCTCATTTTTAATCTGTGTACCTCCTCAATGCTCGTTTCAATCTTACCATCTCCATCTTTAAGTCGTTTTTCAAAAGCCGTTGTGTTAAAACTCCTGCGCGGTCTCTTTCGGCTCAGTCCCTTTGCAGTGCTGGCTGCTGGGCCAACTGTTACATCAGGCAGGTCCAGCCCTGACAGCTCCATACTGAAAGTCAATTCAGCTCAAAAGTTTATTTTCCATCACAACCAGGATTAATTCAGTAATACCATCAATCACCCTGTAACCCACAGCTCACCTGTGATGCGTTTTGGAGATGGTCGAATTGGCTGAAGGTGGCTCCGGCTCTTCAGATGTTTCTGTCTCATGAACCACGGGGGATTTCACCGGCTCTGAAAACCAAAACATATAAGCAAAAGCAAAACCAACCGAAACCAACCAGGAATTAAAAGAAGGCTAGTTCACGCACCTGTCCGCAGGATGTTTATGAGTATGTGTCTGGGAGTGTCTCCGTCATTAATCAGTACTGAAGATGTGGCAGGCATGTTTGCCTTTTTTAACACAACTGAGGCAGTCCTCCTTTTAGTGGCGGGGAGGGATTTTCTGGTTATGCTCTAGAAAAAAGGGACAAAGTTAATAAGTTTAACATGCCCACGAATAACAACTACGCTGCTCACCTCTATTTTACCTCATGGAGCTTATGTCTCATGCTCCGCCTAAGGATCTCCTGCGGGGTTTGGGGACCAGCATCTTTCTTGCTGAGCCTGCTACTCCGCCGGGTCCCGCTGCTACTCGGCTCCTGTGAATTACTGGAGACAAGTCATCTTACGATTAATAATACTGAATACAAAGCCGCTGAGACTAACGTGCGACAACCACAAGTTTGTCGTTAGCGATAGCTTAGCTAGCATTAATGCTGAAAACGCCAGTGAATAAGACTTTCGTAGTTCTCTCCCAGAAAATGAACCGTACCTGCGTGTGACAGGGGTCCTGGGTGGCTCGGTGGTGAGAATATGTTTCAGCAGGACCCGAGCGGACAAATCCTCCGTGGGATCCATTTAGCCACCGAGGAGCAAAGTCAGCTGGTTAGCTGAACTCAGCTAGCAGACAATTGCGGGCAGTTAAACGTCAAAAATGTCAAACAAATGACTTTTTCCACAACGACGCTGTCCAAACAAGCGGTGCTGAGCTGAAATTAGTGTCGTTTATCTCAGCTTTCACCCGAACGTCATTTGTGCTCTGATCCTTGCCTTGTGTTTTCTGTTTCAACGGACTCAATTCTCATATGGTCCCGCGTTATTTTTAAGTGAAATCTCGCGAGAAGAGAGATTTGGCTTTGAACCTCGAGATCGCAATGAAATAAATAAATAAAATTAAAAATGAAATTTTAATATTGTTTTCAGAAAAAGCAATAATATAAATGAATAATTTACAAAATCAGAGCTATGGAATTTTTTTCAATACTGAAATTTTATTTTATTGTATTTTAGTTTAGTTTAGTTGTCATCCATACTTCAAAATTGTGGGTGATTATCCATTATTATTATTATTATTATTATTATTATCATCATCTTAATGAAACTTTTGTGAAAATATCTCAAAACAAAACAGAAAATAACTTGAAATTTCTGAAAATGAAGTCGAAAATTTGAGCTAATGACTCGACATTTTGAGATAATAATCTAAGGCAAGTGAGGTGTTTTGAATTTCTGTCAGGTGTGCATTAAATTTTGACCAGTGGAGTGCAGTGCGATAAACTGGAAAATAAACGTGAGAGCAACACAGTTCTCAAGAGAATTTATAATATCATAATTCCCTGCAAAACATGTTAGTTACCACAAGGGGTGAAAATTATAAAAATGTTTCATTTTGAGAAACTTATCCTACCCTTTATCATAAGATTGGACACCACTACCACCACCAATTTCAAATTTGGATTCATTTGGCATACCTCAGGCTTTTCTCCCCATTTCCATTCCTGAAGAACATCCTACCTGCACACCATGCCAAGATTTCAACTAATAGCTCTTTGGGAATCACTATGTTGGTGCAAAAATACAATTTTATGTCTCTCAGACTCTGTTATCCTTGGCATTTTTCATAGATTTAGTTAAGGAAATTGGGGCAAAAGCTTTGAGCTTTTCAAGAATTGCTCTAGAACACATTAAAAATTACAAGGAAGTCTGACTAGTTGGAAGCAAAATATAAAAAAAGCAACAAACAAAACAAAAACAACACACACAAACAAGGGATGGCTCAACACTGGATTTTAAAAATTCAAACTTACTTTAGACATTAAAATGTAAAATCTGTGTCAATAGAATAAGAATTTCTTCTTTTAGGTTCAAATCTAAGACCAGGTGCAGATGATGGTTAAACCATTTAGAATTTGAGATATATGCATTAAATATAAGGCTATTTAAATAATATAAACAAACATCAGGTGGCACTTGTTCTCATTGTCTCAAATTCTAATATAGTTTCTTTGTAAACCACTAAAAGAGCACATTCTTGTTTCTCACATTTTCTGATGTGTTGTAATCTTTCCCCTCAGCTCTTGCCTGTAAGCATGCAAGGGAGGCGTTAAAGATTTAAATAGTCTTTAATAATTTATGGCAGCAAACTGATAATTATATTCAACAATCAGTAAAACAGGTGGTTGTCTGTTTTATTCATAGTCATTTATAGGTGAATGATCCCTTTGCCCAGCACACTGGAAATAAACTTTCATTTGCTGTCATAGGTTGTTTGATTTTTTTTTAAAAATAGTGCAAAGGCTCCTCGTACGGATGGCTTAGAAGTCTGGCCTGTCCTCCTTCAGTTTGGAGTAATCCATGTTTACTGCAAGAAGCTGGACACACACACACATAAAAACAAATATGCATTATCATATGACTGCTGAGATATGGACTTTGACGCAAGATAACAGAAAATTATGGCCTGTCCTTTGTAGAAACATGCCTGCTCTATAACTTGACGTAAAGGATTAAGAAAAACGGCTCGTACTTTGTACTGCTGATTGGGCTTCATTTGGTTCCAGGGTTCAGGGTTGTTCTTGTGATCCCATCTGAAGACAAGAGGAAAAGCCGTGATCGAAACAACACATCCCCGAGTAACCGAGGAAAGTGAAAACGCCCGCTTTTCTATAAGTTTAAATCGTCTCAGATACTTACGACACGTCTGGGTTTTTCAGAGCCGCCCTGGTCAGGGCCAACACACTCATGGTTGCCCCTCCACTTATGAAGATGAACAGGGGGATCAGCTTTGGAGAAAGGGCATCAATTAGTCAATAAAGCTATTGCTTTATCAATGCCAGTGGAGCAAAACCAGAAGAGAACAATATACAGAGTTTTAAAAATGTTGGGCACATTTTCCTTCTTGAGTTTAGGATGGAGGAGGAGAAGTTGCTATAAATCTGTGTAAATCTGTTGCTCTCTGACTGGAAGTGGTAGTCCTAGATTAGGTTACCAGATGTCAGAAACTAAAACTGCAGACATAAAAGATGGGAACAGACAAGACGGACTCTGCTTTCCTCTGCAGCTGCAGATCTTGCAGGATTTCCAGTGTGGAGCCTTAAAGAGTATGTTTCTATGTTTGATCTATAAAACGTTGATAGATCTTTGTTATCTGCGTCCTTTTGGATCTTATTCAGCATTTCATCTGTTACAAACCATGTGTAGGAGTCCAGTTTTTCCTACTGTGCATTGCCAAGACATAATGTGTCTTATTAAGTTTTAAGATAAGGGCAAATAGTTGTTGTCCCTGCTTATATCACCACACTTTGACCCCGTGGCCAGTTGCATGTGTCTAACAGCTATTAATACAACCAGGGCCACTTTCTCACCTTGCTGCTGTGGGTAAAAATGTGCAGTTGTCCTCAAAAAGCCTTGCTAAGGCAGTGCTACTTTTATAGTAACAGTCTATGATGTATAAAATGCACAGAATTTCCATGTTGGTATTGTTATCTCATGACATAAGAGGATTGTTTAAACAATGAAGAGTTTTCACCAGCAGGGAGCAACAGGCTGCTCAGTCACAGAGCAGGAGGGGGACAAAGCATTTCCATCCAGAGGTCTATTAATATGGAGGCTGCCACAAACCAAACCCTTTCACACCGTCGTCCTTGGAGAAATAAACCCTCACATGCATTTATCTGGCCTTCACTCAAGCTAATATGGAAACTACTCCACCGCTATACGTGCTGCCACCACAAACCCTTTCGCATGGCTACAGACGCACGGTGGCGTGAAACAAGCGACCCCCCCCCCCCGCACGCGCACACACACACAGATTTGAACCTTTAGATTATCATCATTATAACATTTCAGTAACAACAGTATCAGTGTATCACGCTCAGTAGGAGCAGGTGATGCGGTTGTCTGATTCTGCGGATGCCAGAGCGCAAAAACGAACTCTGTCAGGAGGTTGCGGGTGAAAAACCCAAGAAAAGCTTTCACGGGATTACACGAATACAGTGATTAAAACAATAAGAATGTAGTGACGTGAAAATGTTCTACCAATGTTTCTAACCGAAACCTGTGAGTCTGTCGAGGAATTTGAGATTTCCGCACTCAGAGCTGTATATGAAATTATTTTTGCTTTTATAAATAGTAAAATACTCTACGAATGCGTACTTTAGGGTGTCAGTGTGTGGATAAGTCACAAAAACTGTTTTCCTGAGCCTTTACAGCTGATCCCACATCAGGTAATTAAGGATAGATCTTGGGGGGGGAAACGGGAGCGCGCGCAGCTTCAAGCTTCTGATAGGCACGTTTCAGTGTCACCGTCTCCTTGGTCACAGGCTGGTAATAACGACCGTAAAAATAAAACGAGTGGCTGAGACTTACAGCTGGGTGGCTTTTAATCTGCTTGGCGACGACCCCAAAGAATGAAGACATGGTGGACAGTCCTCCCGCTGACCGGCTCCGTTAACGTGAATATCTGCGGGCTGAAGGCGCGCCTCTCCGGAGGATCTCCTGCAGTTTCCTGCAGGCCTGAACGTACAATTGAACTGCACCCTACCTCCACGCGCTACTGTCAGCCAATCCCACAATGCAACGACAGCAGCTGTGCGAACCCCCTACCTGGGCTCATATCTCTGAGCGCTACGGGGGGTTTGCTCAAGTGGATTTTAAACCCTCCACTTCCATTTTTATTTATTTTGAGCAGCTAAAGTTGGACCGTTCAGACCAATCTATAGGCTCAAACCAGCACGCGCGAATATATATATATATATATATATATACACACACACACATATATACTACAATAGCCCGACGGGCAGGGAAGAGATAGATTTTGGTAGCCCGACTGAAAAAATCGCTAGCTCCAGGACGTCGGGCTAGCGATATTGCAAGCCCTGTATCTGATTGAGGAATCACTCATCTTTGGAAAAGAGAGTTTATTACAGAGAAATGTCTCTTTCCAAAATAAAAGCTATACTATCCGCTTCTTCTGGGCTATATTCTCAGCAGCATAAGGAGAATCATGTGCTAACAGCTGTCTAAATGACTCGGCTAAAGTTAGTAGCATGCTTGTTGTTTTTGTCTTTGCACTAGGATGATGTCGGCGTAAATGTGCAGTCATATTCGTTGTGTTCCCACTAGTGCTTTCAGGTTAATCTCGTTGAAATGACCTTAACGCCACAACACGGCAAATCTCCGTTAACGAGCTACCGCCGATCGCTCCGTGCATGGGGCTAGACGGCCAACACGTTAACGAGCTAACTGCGCTAACACACTAGTTCCCACTAGTAATTGAGCATTGCGTGGCACATCCAACATACTGTTTTACTTTAGTCCATGACTCGCTTACCTTCAGGGTCATACGTCACATGAAAACCAAAATAATTCCAAACGCCAGATCTGAATGAGAGTGGGGGAGGTCCATGTTGCAAGGAGAGCTTAACTTCTGTCTTGCTAGCTTGCCCTGCTCTTCCTTCTGACTATGCTGTCTGTGTTGAGCGCTCAGTGGATCTGCGCTCGACAGTGCAGCCTAGGCGGAGTAGTCGAACGCAGATTCACTGAGCGCTCAACACAGACAGCATCGTCAGAAGGAAAGTTGATAAAATAAATTACAAATGTTGTATTGTTCGATACATATGCGTACCGAACCGAAAGCACTGTATCGAACGTTCAATATCGATACGAATATCGTTGCACCCCTAATATATAGATATATATCTATATAGATATCTCTCTCTCTCTCTCTCTCTCTCTCTCTCTCTCTCTCTATATATATATATATATATATATATATATATATAGATAGATAGATATATATCTATCTATATCTATATATAGATATAGATATATATAGA